AAAGGACGGTGTACGCACAGACAGTTCCCTTCTTTCTTTTTCTGGTCTCTTCTTTTTGTCTCTCCCCAACGGAGAATAAAAAACAACCAAATAAACAAACAACAACAACAAAAAAAGGAAAATAAAATAAAAAGAGGAAGAAGAGGAAGAAGAGGATTTAAAAACAACAAATAAAAGAAATAACTGCAGAAAGAGAGAGAAACAAACACAAAAAAAGGTGGGAATATACACACATACACATATATATATATATACTTATATATATATTGAAAGGATGTAGACATCACTGCGATATGCGTCGTTTATTTATTTCTATCCGCCAATTTTTTTCCTTTTTCTCACTTTCTCTCTTTTATATATGAATATATATGAATGCACATGGCTGAAGAAACAAACAAACAAACAAACAAAAAAGAACGTATCATTTGCTTTTGGCCGGTACGAAAGTACATGTAAAGATGTGTGGGTGTGTTGACTTGCAGTTTGCGGAATCCTGCGCATTCCCATGTGAGGCCTTCGCGAAGGTGGAGGGACGGAGGAAGGAAGTAGGGAGAACAGCAACGACAAGAAACAAAGAATTAAAAAGAGAGAGAGAGAAAGAGAAAAAAGGAACGGAGGGGGGAGTTGAAGGCCGGTGAATTGAATGAACGCGTGAATTGTATGAGTCTTTTTGAATGGTGGAAGGATTTTTTTTTTTTTTTTTTTTGTGGTGGTGGTGGTGGTGGTGGGGGCAACGGCATGGTGCTGCATTATCTTCAATGACTGCACCGTCGGTGGAGTGCGCAGATGTTAGCAAAGATATCCCTTTAGGAGGTAATTGTTTGCATTTCTGCTTGTCTTTCTGTCCGTGTTTTATTTGGAGATGATAAATTTGATGCTTGAATTATTATTATAAAAAAAAAAAAAAGGGAAAAGTATTGGGTTGAGCCACTTCATGGGCGGATGCATGTCGGTTGGCCGCAGACACGTACAGACACATGCTATCTTTGTCCTTCAGTCTCTCTCTCCCTCTCTCTCTGTTTTTCTCCATCCATCATGGCATTTCTATTATTTTAAGCGAAGAATATATATATATATATATATAAAGGGGAGGGTGGGATGGCGCTTCCCGCACGGATGGTGACGCTGCGGCGAGGGGCTCCATGCACATTGAGCTGCCATCATTCATTTTGTGCGATTCAAAGTTTGGGCAGAGGTGTGATGATATTGACTCGCGTGGCTTTGTACCAGCGCACATGCAAGCCGCCACAGGAGGGCGCCAAGGACGCGGCTGCAACATGTCGTGCTGCATTTCAGCACTTTATTCGCCTTCGGAGCTCTGAATATACCGGGACACATGTGCCCACGTTCGATAAGACCGCTACAAGTACTGCGACGGCCACTAACGGAGTGGCGCTGGAAGACGATGAGGCGGAGGAGCCCATGCGTCATGCGTTGGAGACGATTGAAGTCTGCCCAGTCACAAGCAATGGACGTCATACGGACGCACGATGCACCGAGAAGGTTGAAAGGATAAAAGAGAAGAATGGGGGGAGGTGCTTGCGGTCAGAACGGATGCAGCCCTCTTCTTCTTCTTCATTCTTCTTCGCTTCCTGCTCCGTACCGCGGGGAAAACGGGATTTGTGTCGTCTGCATCAACGCGCGGCGAAGGATTTGAATATGGCACGAGAAACGCAGATTCGAATGGAATATGAGCGTGCAGTGAACATTTTACACGAAATTCATATGGCCCTGAAGGGGATTATGCCTCCTTTTGGAGGTCCTCATGGGAGTCAGTCGAGAAGACCACACAAGGAATGGTTGGATTCCACCGAAGCAATACGATTTGAACGTTTGCATCAACTCCGCGATACCACAAGCCGACTTTCGACGGCACATTTTCTTTTACTGCCTGTGGCTTCCATTCTACAGTTTCTTGAGCTCGTTGGGAGCATTGCTGCTCTTGTGCAGGAGCCGCACAGCACCGCCCATGGTTATGTTGTGCGACAGGCGGTGCGGGCACTCTTCCTCGATATCACTGCCGCCACAATGAACACAAGCAAGGGGCCTGCTTCTACCAGTCATACGGGAAATAAAGTGAATTCACAGATGCATCTTTTATCAGGTCTTCATTACTACAAACTTCTGCGCGTCATGCTCTCTCTACCATCCGTTGAAACCATTGAGGTGTCTGGCAACACTGGAACAGTGATGCCATTGGAGGAGTTCTGTGTGCGGCAGTTAAGTAATGGTGTAAACGTCTCTGTGCAATCAAATCTTAAGCTGTTTCTTCATGAGATTGGACCAATTCGTGCTGTTCGTGTGGTCGCGTGGTGCATGCGCCATGCAGCCTCACTGCCTGTCTCATCATGGCAAGGGAAAAAACGCCCTTCATTCGGGGCATCCTCCGTCTTGCCACCACGTGGGGAGTTGCGCATTCCCTTTGGTGTTGGCAAGGAGTATACACAAAGTGTGTTGGCCTCCTTTTCGGGGTACAATCCCCGTGGGGACGATACCAGCAAGGAGAATGTGACTAAAGAGAAGGCGCGAACAACATTTGGGGTAAAAGAGCTGGCGGTGTTGTGCAACGCCATTGTCTTTTATGAGATCCGGACAATGGAGGCCGTGAAGGTTCTTGTGGAGGCCGCACCGGTGTGTGCAGCGGGGGTAGAGGAGTTGTCAGGCCATCAGTTGAGTTGTGTCATGCTCGCTTACGCGACGC